AATCCACACATAGCTACAATTTATTTTGTGTTATTTATTTCTGTGTTTGTTATATCTATGGAGACTCGAGAGACTACTATGTCATCCAAACGAAGTAGAACTAATTCTTCCGCATCAAACAAGAAAAGAAAAACTTTATCTTTGAAATGTAAAGTTAACATTGGGGTATGTTCATAAAGTTGAACGAGTTAAGCGAGAATGATGTCATCGTTATTCCTATTTCGTTAGACTTTTCGAATGATTTGTTACTAACGCATTTAACTCGTTATTATTAAAGACTTCGATACAAAAATGAAAATTTGTGAATTGGCAAAGAAGTTTGATCTACCGGAATTGTCGGTCAGAACAATTATAAAAGACAAAAACAAAAATTCTCGAAGCTGTGAAAATGCTCAATCTTTAAATTCAAGCATCATTCATAAACGTCACAGTATTATCGCTGAGATGGACACAACGTTAAAATTATGGTGTAATAATCAAGTAAATGTGAAAAATTATAAAATAATATAGGCCTAATTTGTTATACATATGTATTATCTAAGATTTTATTAAGCATTTTTTTCTAAATTATTGTTTTTTTTTTAGTCTCCGGCCCCAATTAAAAATTATTTGTATGTATTTATATGCGAAATTATACCCCGACTTACGCGGTTACCGCTCGATCCCACCTATCGCGTAAGTTTGGGGTATTACTGTACTTACAAGTTAGCATTCATTTGAATAAAGGTAAGATTATTAAAATGAATAAATAAGAAATTACAAATGTTTTTATCCCAAACAAAATGATTGAAAGATTATTAAATAGAAGTTTAATCTTTAAATTTATTTTTTCTCTTTATCTCAGTTTTATTAATTATTTGTCAAATCTAGTCATTGATTTTTGCTTAATAAAAATAATTGAATACCAGACTAAGATACTATTATACTAAAATAAATTTCAATTCATGCATAATAATTAAAACAAAAATGTTTGTTTATATGAAAGAAATTAATTCTTGTAGCTTGTAGTTTAAAAGATCAGAAGTGTAACATGCATAATATAACCATTAAATATTAGATACTTTCAAAATAAAAATGATCTTATAATATTTATGAATATAAATTTCATAACTTTATTGTCTGTATTGTTTTCAGTTTATTCAAAACCTTTTAAAGTTCATTTCTTTCATAATTTTTGTTATCTATTATTACTAGGAATATATTTTTTTTAATGGGTTAAATATAAAAATTATGACTATAATTCTGTCTTTAATTTTTCAAATTAAAAATATCTCTCGTCAGTGAAAAATTGAGAGTTTTATTAACAATGGAATATAACAATTATAAACCTAATAAACATTACTTATGATGATACTTGCTGTATAGACCATTAATTTTCTGTTTAAGATATTCTTTCAAAACTTAAATCTTGATGTTACTTGTTGTTTCTGGAGAATGTTATAGAATTATAATTAATTATATAATATTCTCAAGAAACATATTTTTATTATTAAATAAAACATTATATTTTTGAATTTATAACTCTTTAATAAATCCAAATAACTCTGCAATGTTAATTAAGTTGTTTCTGTTTATTCATTAAAAAGATAATGAAAAATAATGTCAATTGGAAAAAAATAGTTTGATTAGGCAAATTAGATAAAAGAAATTGTAACAGACCATCAAAATACATCTTCAGTTGCTGAGATAATTTATTTAAACATAAACTAACATTTTCAGTCTATTCAATAGACCATCCTCAAGTTAAACAAGAAAATTAGAACAATGGTGTTCTAAAATATCTGATATAATATTATATATAATGTAATAATATCATAAATAAACAGAATAATACCAAAAATGTAAAATTAAGGCATAAACTAGGAGTTCTTAAAAACTTTTTAACTAGATACTTTCACACAGTTGGTAAACTTTCAGTGTCTCTTGCATTCATGCATGTACCTTGTAGCTTACCCTTATATATTCTATAAATTTCAATTTTTTCTACACTCATCACTAAAGTTTGGGAGTGCATGGACTTAACAATATCTGCTTCCTCCCATTTTACTATAGAGCCTTCAGCCTACACATCTGAGATAATACTGTAGCATTATAATCCTTCTTGACATTATATTTGTGCTCCTTCAGCCTGATTCCCAAACTTATTGTTGTAACACCAATATAATTTTTCTTGATTCCTAAATGCACAGTCTCATATGGAATCCTGTATACCCTGCCTTTCCTTCTTTATTAATATTATCGTATAGAAGTTCGGAGCTCTTTTCAAAACCATTTTTGACCCCTTGCAGTCTGCAATTTCTTTCAGGATGGCTTTCGTATTTCTGCTGTATGTGAACTTTGTGATTCTACCAATATCACTGTTTGGAGTCTTTGTCATGCCTATTTTGTAGCTTCTAATCATTCTTGTTATTGTTTCCACTCTTATTGTATCCTATAGTTCTGGCCACTTGTAAAATTCTGTCAATTTCCTTCTGCCTATCAACTATACTACTACAATACAGAAATGCTCTTCTAACAAGAGCTTGGAACACAGCCAGTTTATATCAGTAAGGATCATTTGATTGTGATGGGATGTAAAGTGGACTATGTGTTGGTTTGATGTAAACACTAGTGACAAAATGTCCTTTGAATTCAATACTTATGTCTAAAAAATATATCTGTGTATAAAATATAAATAAAAATATATATGTCTTTTCCTGCCCCCCTTTTGCCACATGGTAGATCCAACTCAGTGATTTGCTCCTGTGTTGAACTTGGGGGCATTGGGGTTGAGGTAAGGAGGTTAAAACTGGGTGTGTGACTGGGCTGGGAGATTATTCAGGTGATCTCAGCGACAAGACGAGGACAGAAGGAGCAAGAAGAGTGATAATTTTTGAGACTAGGTGCAGGGTAGTGTGTGATAGTGAATGGTGAATTAGTTGAAAGCTGGAAAGGAAAGACTGCACAACCAGGTCAGTGTGAAGATTCTGTTTCAAACTATTTTTTTCTGCTTGGTATAAAGTAAAAGAAGTAATCTTCAAATTGATTGTTGGTATGTTTTATGTCTACGTGTTATGGGGATTCGGTAGCAATATATTGTCAGAAAGATTGTGTGTTAACATTATTTGGTAAATTGGATTGTGTCAGGCTCTGTACATTCCTGTGGGTTTCCTTGAAGTACTTTATGTTCTTAGGAAAATTAAACGGTTATTTTGTTAATCTGGATAGTTGTCTTTGTCTAGTCCCTACTGAGACCAGTGGATTTCCCCTCTTAAGCATCTGCTCTATCAAGCATGCTCGTTATAAATTTGGCCCATCGAAGAAATCTCTGAAATTCTCTGTGTCAACTCATTTGTACCATTCATATTCTCACATATCATTGACGAACTTTTCTGTTCCATCTTCAATTTAAGGCCGTCATTGTTACTATTGATCTTATCAATGAATTCATTAATTTTTTGGTTATTCTTAAAAACAACATTAATTATGGTTAAAATTTTCTAGCATTACCCTCAACAGTAAATGTTAAAGATGTCCAGTGTCTATCTATGCACCTAGTTGTGACAGAAAAAACAAATAAAAGACACCGTTTCAGAACAGGCAATAATCTTCAATCAATGTTTTCAATAATTTTTGTGTCATTTGCATTCTGTTTTTTTTAATATAATCCTCCAATGCTTTGTTATAAGTTTGTCTTCTTATGATAACCCAATATGTTACTTTTGTCTGCTTTTGTTGCAACCAAATCATTTCCTTCAGCCAACTTCTAGTGAGTTTGATATCTTTGTTTGTACTGCTTCCTTTCCTCCTACCTGCCTGGTCTTTAATGACAGTTTTCTATCTGAGGTATTCTTTTTCTAATGAATCCAGTCCATTGATCCCTCTTTCAATTTCTTGAATTGAGGTTTTCCAAGATCCTGTATTTTCCTGTATTTTGATAATCTGTTAATTATTTGCTGAGTGAATTTTGTTAATTGAAATTGTAACGTGATAACCAATATGTTTAGCATATGCTAATTAACATTTATTTAAATCAACATCTTTCAAATATTAAACACCATCTACAAAAAGTTCATAATTTTAAAATTTTGATAGAAAATATCCAATTAAATTATCTAGTAAACTTATATTTCATAATGACTATAATTAAAATTAAGCAAAAACAACTACACTATATACTGTTTCTGAAAATAAAATTTGTAATTCAAGATTTCAGCCTTTTTAATTAAAACATATCAATTCTCATTTACTGTAAATAAAAATTGTTTTTACATAATTTATTTTTTATTATTATTTTTATATATTATTAAATTATACTTACAGTATTAATTAACATAGCAAGCTGTTCTAAAGGATGATAAGCACCATCTGGAAATCTATTTTTATCATTCTGCTTATGACTTAAATCTACTCTATAAATAAATAAATTACATATTAATATACATATCAAGTACATTTACAGTTTATATAGTAATATGTTCTTTTTAAATACATTTAAACGTGTCAAATTTTACTCAAACAAACTAATATAAAAATTTTGATTTTCAAAACAAAAAACAACTCATAAATTAAGAAATTTAATTCTTAATTTATAAGTTGTAAACAGCTGTAATATATTATCGTAATGTAAAGTAAAAGTAAAAAGAAATATAAAATGAAATCACAGATTACTATTTTATTTTATTATGTAATTTGTTCTTGGGAATACAATTAAATAAACTTTAATAACCAAGGAAAATATCAATACAGCATAAACAATCCAGCATACAATACTTAAATCCTCATAATAGTTAAGCCATACTAATAAAATTTAGTAAAGGATATTATAAATAATGCATAAACAACATTATGCTTACCTAAGTGAATTACTCATGAAATTTTTTACTTTATTAATTAAAGAATTCATATTAAAAGCAGGATTCCAATATGATAATTTAAAAGGTTCCAAAACTTGAATTGAACTCAGGGATTCTGAATTTAATCCCTATATAAGAAATCATTAATACATTATAAAAAATAATTAATATTAAATATTGTAAATATAAAGTTTGCTATTCAATATTATTTGAATTAAAAAAAACAAATTCAAGTGTCAAAAAGTAAATATTTGTTGAACATTTGAAATTAATATAATATCAATCAGAAATTAATTACACAAACTTTAACATCTTTCCCAAAATATTAAAATTTTGTACAAATAATAAGCTATATTTGGATTTAATTAAACCCAACCCAATAACTTAGTCATAATTAATAATAATAAGCATTTTTTTCCTATCTCAGTTAATTACAGGGCACTTAAATTTCTCATGCTTTTAGTCATTCTTTATCTAATAAAATCCAACAAGCTGTCAATAAATTAAAACATTTTTGAATTATAAGACTAGATTCATTAATAAAAACTTAAAATTGTGCATTAAAAATAATTTAAAAAAATTCCATTGTAAAACTAAGCAGATAAATCTTAACAAAAATTCCCATTTTTATCATTTTTGTTAGATTAAATTATATCATCTTTCATTTAAAATCTAACCAAGAAAATTTATTTTAATAAAATATTTAATAAAAATTTCTAGTGATACAATCAATTGGTCATATATTGAGAACTTTCATAGTAATTTTTGCATTAAACTTATGATCATTTTATCAAGATTATAAAATTGTTTAATATTTTCATTTATCTTAATATCTATTATGAGGTTTATCATTGTATAAACAATCAGTTCAGTCATATGCTACTAAAAACTGATCATGTACTATTTCTGTAATTTTACAGAAATATTGTTCTTAAAATAAAAGTTTTTAATTGTTTGTTTAATGTTCTAAAATAAGATATATTAAATATAGTTTTTTACTTTAATATATAAATCATGTTTTACTTTTTACATATTTTTGTTTATTAAAGTATGTAAAAGAAATTTTATTTTAAAAATAATATAATTATTTATTTTATATTTATATATCAATTTTTATGGTAATCTGAGTTTGTTAAGCTGTTGGATAAATGACTAAATCTGGCCTGACGATAAACATTACTAGTGAAATTTGCAATATTGAAGAAAATTATTTCATTCCATGTAAATACTGATAGATAAAGTCCATAATTGAATTAGCATTTAATTGTAAGATGCAGAGATTTTATTTTTTTCTTATATCTGATCATTAAAGATCAATGTTATAAAGCATACACTATTATAATAATTAAAATAATTAATTTGCTTATAAACAGTAGTTTTAATATATATATTTGAGAAGTTTAGATAAGTAGAGTTACTGAGAGAAATGAATTGGCACTATTTAGTATATTCTAAATTGAATAATCTACTAGATGACTGTAATTAAAATATCCTTCAACACTGTCTAGAAAAATATTTAACAATCCAAAAGCAACTCTGTGACAGCTTAAAGATACTAAAAGATTACAAAGAAATACTAAAAGATGTTTACTAGTTTTGTCATACTCCAACTGCCTCAGCAATAATAGCTTGACAATGCCTCCACATACTGAACATTGCTGTATGTGGAGGCATTGTCAAGCAATGTTATTGCTGTATGCAATAACATTGCTGTATATTGCATACAGAAACTGCTGTATGCAATATACAGCAGTTTCTGTACAAACATCTCATTGATAACCGAGTAATTAATTGTGCATTCCTTCTGCCTGGACATCTCATTCTCCAGATTTTAGAGTAATTTTTGGTTGTAGGAATATTTGAGAAATGTGGTTTATTAATGACAGGTTGCACATTTAGCAGTTTTGAAAGACAGTATCACACTGATGTAAAAGTCATCCTACAGTCTTTCATTGAACACACTGTTCAACCTGTGGCATTGATCGCCAACAAAAGAGTTCAGGTTGCACAGGTTAAACAGGAGTCCGCACTCAAGACGAGGAGTCGACAAAAGGACAAAGGCACGTGTTCGAATCGGTCTTTTATAGCCTCCGGACTCCCTCTGGTGGCGATTGAACGGAGTTCGGAATTAGTCGCCACAGTACTCCCCCCAAGTGCTGAAGGCACGAGGAGCTAGAGGAAGAGTGGATTGAACCGGACATGACATCCTGAGCAGGTAGTCGTCGATGAGGTGGCCGAGGTGGGAAGCGACATGTCTGCTGGAACTGGCTGAACCGGAGTGTGTGATGTTGTGGTTGGGGGTGGGATGTCGGGATTAGATCCGGCTTCGGGAGGTGACGTGAATGCTGGCTTCAGTCGATCAATGTTTATGGATGATGTTCGTCCGTCGATTCGGACTTTGTACACCGTTCCCTGCCGAGATATCACTTCATATGGTCCGTCGTAGACTGGTTGTCGAATTGCGTCACGAAAAATGAATACGTGACGGCAGGTGGACAGTTCCTTGTGGACGAAAACTGCACGTTTCGAGTGTGCGGACGTCGCTACTGGCCACAGCTTCCTCATAGTTTCGCGGAGCTGACCAACAAAGGAAGTTGGGTTGATCACCGAGCTTGATTCTGTAGCGAAGAACTCTCCGGGGAGTCGTAGATGGGTTCCATAGACCATCTCTGCTGACGTGGCGTTGATTCCGTCCTTGATGGTAGAGCGCAAACCCAAAAGGATGGTCGGGAGCACTTCGGTCCACCTCTCGGTAGCGTGGCATTTTAGTGCTGCCTTGAGTGGACGGTGTAGATGCTCGACCAGACCGTTGGACGCTGGGTGGTAGGGAGAGGTGTGAATATGCTTCGAACCGAGTAGGCTGGCTAGCGCTTGAAAGAGGGCTGACTCAAACTGCCTACCTTGGTCTGTGGTGATCTGCTTCGGTACGCCGAAGTGGGAGACCCATCTAGAGTAGAATGCTCTCGCTATTGTTTCTGCTGAGATGTCTGGTATTGGGAATGCTTCTGGCCAACGTGTAAAGCGATCCACACAGGTCAGACAGTAAACAGATCTATGAGATTGAGGTAGGGGTCCAATAATGTCGATGTAGACGTACGAAAATCGTTCGTCTGGCATGGACAGATTAGCGAGCGGGGCGGAAGTGTGATGAGTAACTTTGCACTGCTGGCACTGTAGGCAGGAGCGAGTCCAAGCAGTGGCGTCGGCTTTCATGGAAGGCCAGATAAATCTCTGCTGCAAGAGCTTAATCGTAGCTCTGATGCCGGGGTGTGAAAGGTTATGCAGCATGTTAAAGATCTCTCTGCGTAATGATGACGGTATATAAGGGCGTACTGTCCCCGATGAGATGTCACAGTAGAGCTGGCAGGTAGAGTCGTCAACCATAAGTCGACTGAAACACAGCCCTGTGGAGTTTGGCTTGTCTAGAAGCTCCTTAAGCTCGCTGTCGTTTCGTTGCTGTATGGTGAGTTCTTTGTAGTCTATCTGCAATGGCGTGTTTATCGCAGCTATACGGGATAGAGAGTCCACAACTATATTGTGGGAACCCTCTATGTGACATATGTCCGTTGTAAATTGCGATAAGAAGTCGAGATGTCGAAGCTGTCTTGGAGAGGCTTTGTCGGGGCGTTGCCGAAATGCAACTGTTAGCGGCTTATGATCAGTAAACAGGATGAAGTCTTGACCTTCTAACATGTGTCGGAAGTGTTTTACGGCTGCGTAGGCGCTCACTAACTCACGGTCGTAAGTACTGTACTTGCGCTGCGCGGCCGACAGCTTGTTGAAGAAAAAGGCGAGTGGTTTCCATGCTCCTTGAAATTTCTGTTGTAGGACAGCGCCTATAGCAGTGTCTGAGGCGTCGACCATAAGTGCAAGTGGTTTCGTGGCTGATGGGAAATTTAACACAGCAGCGTCTGCAAGCACTTCTTTGCATTGAGAAAATGCACGTTGCACTTCCAGAGTCCATACGATTTTTGTATTGTCGTTTTTCTTGCTTCTGGACAGGAAGGAGTTGAGCGGTGCTTGTGTGTACGCAGCTTTGGGCAGAAAACGTCTGTAGAAGTTTAACATTGCCAAAAACCGGTGCAGCTCTCGGATGGTAGTGGGTTCAGGAAACTTTCGGATGGCTGAAACCCTTTCTGGAAGAGGACTCACACCCTCCGCTGAAATCTTATGGCCGAGGAAAGACACAGTCTGCTGTCCTAGGGAGCACTTAGAAGGATTTAAGGTTACGCCGTATTCGAGAAAACATTGGAAAACTTCTCGGAGGTGTTGTGTGTGCTCTTCTTTGCTCTTGGATGCCACTAGCATGTCGTCAAAGTAAGGTACGCAGCAATCCAGACCATGGAGGACTTGATTGATGAACCTCTGGAAGGTCTGGGCTGAATTACGGAGACCGACTGGAAATTCATCACTGGGCTGCATCACTGGAAATTCAAACAGCCCGAAAGGTGTTGTGACTGCTGTTTTCGGAATGTCATCTGGATGGACGGGCACCTGATGGTTGGCTCTGGCAAGGTCAAGTGTAGAGAACATTGTAGAGAACAAGTGTAGAGAACATCCCTCTACCACTTGTGTGCAGTCCTGGATGTGTGGAACTGGATATCTGTCAGGCACCGTAACGGCATTTAGGCGGCGATAGTCTCCGTAGGGACGCCAGTCGCCATTACGCTTGGCGACCAAGTGAAGTGGGCTTGCCCACGGACTCTTAGATGGGCGGCAGATGCCTTGCTGTAGCATGTAGCTGAACTCTGCCTTAGCTGCTTTGAGCTTGTCCGGGGGAAGGCGTCTTGGTCTGCAAAACACTGGTGGACCTGTAGTCTCAATATGGTGAAAAACGGACGCCTTGCCGCGTCTCGTTGCTATTAACGAGGGATTTGTGATCGAGGGAAATTCGGCCAGCACTCACTGGAAGTCAGAATCTCCGTGTATGGTGGTGATGGTGAGAGTTGTCGTTGGTTTGGGGCGTTCAGTGCCTCTAGACTTCAGCTGCGTGGCTGCATCTATGAGGCGGTTTTTCGTGCATCCACCAATAGGTTGAAGTGAATTAGAAAGTCTATGCCTATAATCGGTTGAGTGACGTTGGCGATGATGAAAGGCCATGGAAAGCTCCTTCGCAGATTAAAATCCAATGTTAGCAGCTTGGTGCCGTAAGTTGGAATTCTCGTGCCATTGGCAGCAAAGAGGACTAGTTTCCCAGGAGTTTTTGCTTGCAGGGAGAGAGATTTAGGAATCACTGAAACATCTGCGCCAGTGTCGACCAAAAAACTCAAGTTCGTAGACGGGTCAACCATGAAAATTCGGTCAATTGAGTGGTCACAACTGTTGGCCCCAGACAGCTGCTCTGCTAGTTTCCCGAAGGCTGGAAAGAGCAGGGAGGTGTGCATTTCCTGGCTCTCTCTCCAAAGTTGGTGTGATAAAAGCATTGATTGTTCATTGGTTCTTTGAACCGGCGGTAACGGCCTTGGGACTGACTACGTTTTCGGGGGTGGAACGTTGGACGATTATTCCTTTCACGTGGTCACTCACAATGCACTATGGCCGACAATTCTGCTACTTAATTGATAAGCTGCTCAATTTGAAGTTCTAATGAGGAAGGGTGCGTTAATCGTTGACTCGAAGTAGAATTTACACTTTGCGTGATGGTTAGGTCCGAGATTTTGTTGGCTATCGTAGCCAGTTGGGGTAAGTCTTCGCTTAGCGTGGCAAGAATACTTTGAGTGTTCGCTGGTAGTCTTGATAGCCACAAGGACTTTAATAGCAGTTCCCCAACCGCCTTGCCGGCGAGAGCGTGCATACGAGTTAATAGTTGTGACGGGCGCTGGTCTCCTAACTCCAAGCCTTGCAGGAGCGTGCGAATCTTTGATTCTTGGCTTTCCGAGTGTAGCTCAATGAGGCGTTTCTTGAGGGCCTCGTATTTTTCGCTGGCCGGTGGGTGTAGAATTAAGTCACTGACTGAGTTGAGAACCTTGGACTCGATTGCTGAAATCACATGGTTGAATTTTTTGGAGTCTGCGGATATCCTGGAGATGGCAAATTGTGCCTCAAGTTGCGCGAACCATAGCGTCGGATTCGGCTTCCAAAACGGCGGAGGCTTTTGGAAGCTCGACTCGAGTTACGTTGACGGCCATTGTTTCTGGCTGGTCGCTGAGCAGCATGCTGATTTCCAGAACAAAGGATGAGAGCACAAAAAAGTCGGTTAAATATGAAACGCACGAATTGTTCGATAGCCGGGCGTATGAGTAGTGAGAGTTCCGATGAGCGAGAAAAAATAATATGCTTACCTATCGTAGGTGTGGGAAGTTATTCGACCTTTGTTCTGTAGCCATGTGATTGCCCCAAAAAATATCACAAAATAAAATATGCGGTGAATCTGGTTGTGAGGATGGAAAAAAAATCATTGAGATTAATGGCGTGGATATCCAGATGAAATTGGATTGCAGTTGGATCACGTTCGGGTCACCAATGTTGCATTGATCGCCAACAAAAGAGTTCAGGTTGCACAGGTTAAACAGGAGTCCGCACTCAAGACGAGGAGTCGACAAAAGGACAAAGGCACGTGTTCGAATCGGTCTTTTATAGCCTCCGGACGCCCTCTGGTGGCGATCGGACGGAGTTCGGAATTAGTCGCCACAAACCCTTCAGGTTTTACACTTCAGAATGGGGAACAAATTGAG